AGATCTGAGGCTGTACATTGTGGCTGATGCTAACCAGTAATGTGATCGACTGTCAGGTTTTACCGTGACATCTTTACCTTCTTACTGTCAAGAAGTATCTCAGAAATCTTCATGCCCTTTCCCACTCAAACCTCTCTACAAAAGTAACCACCACTCTGACCTCTACCATTATAGTTTTTTCTACTTACGAATTTTAAATAAATGGATTCATACAATAAATTCTTGCCTTTGGCTTATTTTTGAAAAGTGAAATGCATGCTTGCTATATATAATAGTAGCATGCTGTTTTTCATTTCTGGGTAGAATTCCATTAAATAAAATTGACACAGTCTTATATATCCACTTTATAGTCAAAGGACTTTGTGGTTGATTCTTCAACTATTTTGAATAAAGCTTCTATGAGCTTGTGTATATTTTCTGGAAGACATGGGTAGTTATTTGTTTTCGATATAGTGCTGGAATTGCACATATTCAGCTTTTTTTAGTGTAAATATGGTCAAATACTTTAAAAAGTGAATGAAACAATTTGTATTACCATCATCAATACTGATAATTCCATTGCTACAGATCCAACATTTGGTCCTTTCAGTCTTTTTAACTATTGCCCATTTCTTGAAGTTGTAGTATCACATTGTAGCTTCAATTTGCATCTTGATGAGTAATGATCTTGAAAACATATTTTTCATGTGGTTTATAACTTAGATATTCTTCAAGAATTATTCTCTCTTACCTTTTAAAAACTGTTCTGTTTTTCAATTGGGAAGGTATAAGTAAACTGCTAGAACACTACACATATTCCATATCTTGATCTGTATGTTGGTTTCAAAGATATAATATGTATATCAGGATTTGCCCTTCCTGTATATTAAGGAAATTACTATCTAGCAAGGACATAAAGATATTCCTCCTAGGTTTTCTTTTAGAAATTTATCTCTTTAGCCTTTAACATGTAGTTATGAGCAATCTCAAATGAATTATTATGATGTGATAAAACATAGGATCAAGGTTAATATTTTTCAGAAGCATATCTAAATCAACAAAAGCATTTACTCAAAACCACTTCTTTCCCACTTTGTTGCAGTGGAATATTTTGTGTAAATCAGGTGACTGCATGTATGTTTCTGGACTGTCCTATTCCATTTGTTCAGTTTTCTCTCTGTGCTAATGCTACCCTGTCTTAATTATTGTAACTTTGCGTAAGTCTGTGTATCTGTGTTTACTTCTTCAGCTTTAGAGTTCTAAATTGTCTTACTATTCCAGGGTCTTTGTGTACTGAAGTGGTTATCATGGACATCCTTGCCCTGTTCTCAAATTCAGATACAATACTTTCCCATTAATTATGATATTAGTTGTAGGGCTTTTTGTAGCTACCACGGACTGTAGAGAGATTGAGCTAAAAATTAATGACAGAAAGATCATTATAAAACTCCTAAAATCTGGAAATTTGACAATACAGCTAAATTGAACTAGGACTAGGTTGAAGCAAACAAGGAGCCTAATGGGCAAAAGTGACAGGTTCTAGGAACCTGTGAGTGAGTGACTCCTTAATGTTGTGCTCTGGGATCCTTGCTTATTTTACCTTGGTCCTGGTCCTCAATATAAATAGCCCAGAGCTCCTCTAAGAAATCTCAGTGGAAAAGGGAAAATGTTGAACTCAATAATGTTGAATACAATCACAAAATTTATGAGATGGAACTAAAGCAATTCATAGACATTTATCTCTAAATACATGTACAGTTGGCCCTCTGTACATGTGGATTCTGAACCCATGGATCCAATCAACCTTGGATTGAAAATATTGGGAAAAAATTGCATCTGTATGGGGCTGGGGTTGTGGTTCAGTGGTAGAGAGCACTCGCCTAGAACGTGCGAGGCCCTGAGTTCGATCCTTAGCACCACATAAAAATAAATAAATAAAAACAAAGGTATTGTGTACAACTAAAAGAAATAAATATTAAAAAAAATTGCATCTGTATTTAACACATAGAGACTTTCTTCTTCACCATCATTCCCTAAACAATATAGTATTTACATAGCAATATGTATTATAAAAAATTTAGAGATAATATGAAGTATTCAGGAGCTTTTTTTTTTTTTTAGGTTATAAGCACATATTACATCATTTTATATAAGTGACTTGAGCATCCACAGATTTTGGCATCTGCGTGGAGTTCTGGAAACAATTTCCCATGAACACTGAAGAATGGTTATATTTAGAAAGAAGAAAGTTTGAGAAATGAATGATTTAAGTCTGCTGTCTGTAGAGCTTTCTGTAATGATGGAAATGTTCTGCATCTGCTCTTGCCAATATGCTACATGTGGCTACTGAGCTATAGAAATGTGGCAACTATGACTGAGGCATTGAATTTAAAAAATATTTATTTTTGATTAATTTAAAATTAAAAGAATCATTTTTACAATAGAACTTCAAGTAATTTATGTACTCTTCCCTCAAGGAGACCTCATGCCCTGTTCTGGGCATAGGCAGGATTTAATGGCTTAGTTCACTGTAAGCTATATCAACACAGTTGGCAGGCTAGCTCCGGATGCAACTTCAAAAGCATGAGGTTCAAGGTTCAGTTGCTTGATCAAGTTTCTTATGCCTGGGCCAGTTAGCCAGAATTTCCAAAGAATAGTGTATGAAGGGGAAAGAAAGCAACTTTACCAAGGAGAAACCAACAAGTCCCATTGATGGCATGTATCCCTAAGATTTGGTGAGAAGGGCACATCATGTCTTTCATATTCTTCTAAAAACCCAGTGTAACCACAAGAAAAGCATCAAACCCAAACTGAGATACATTCTGAAAAGTATCTCACCTTTACTCCTTAAAGTTGTCAAGATCTTCAAAAATAAGGAAAGTTTAAGAAACTGTCTCAGACCTGGAAAAGATAAAGAAACAGGATGACTAAGTGCAATTCATTGTCCTGGATGGGAATCAGAAAGAGAAAAAGGGTATTAGTAAAAAAAAAAACAAAAACAAAAATTAGTGAAATGTGAAGCCCAGAGTTTAGATAATAGTTTTTATTGATCAATACTGGCATTATTGTGCAGTCAAAAGATAATTTCACATTCATACATCTTAGACATTGTAAATATCTCTTCTACATCTATGATCTCTTCATTTTGACTATGGTATACTCTACTGAACAGATAAAGGAATAGTATTTTAAAATCCTGTAGATTTTTAAAATAATTAACACTTTACTCTATAACCTCCTAGGTTAAAAAAGTGAGAATCACTAAGGAAATTAGGACTTCCTTGGAATTGAAGGAAAATTAATATATTATGATACCAAAATTGTGGGACACAGTTAAATTAGTAAAGGTAAATTTACAGCACTACATACTAGGAAAATAAAAGAGATTTTGCAAACAAATGAGTTAGGCATTTACCTAAAAAAAAAAAAAAAATTATAAAGAGGAGCAACACATCCTTGTAGAGACAGGATGGAAGGAAATAATAAGAGTGGAAGAAATAAATGGAGAAGGTAACATATAAATAAAACCAAAACCTTTAAAAAAAGATTACTGAGAGGCTAGCCTCAGCAACTTAGATCCTGTCTCAAAATAAAAACTAAGAAGGGCTGAGGATGTAGCTCAGTGGTAGAGTATCCCTGGGTTCACTCCCCAATTAAACAACAACAACAACAAATCAAAAACAAGGCTGGGATTGTGGCTCAGCGATAGAGCGCTCGCCTAGCATGGGCGGGGCCGGGTTCGATTCTCAGCACCACATAAAAATAAAGGCATTGTGTTGTGTCCATCGACAAAAAAATAAAATATTCTCTCTCTCTCTCAAAAAAAAAAAAAAAAAAAAAAAAAATCAAAAACATACATACACACCCAAAAATTACTGAAATAGATAAACTTGTAGCAGAACTGATAAAAACCTGCAAAAAAGATTGGGCAAACTACTCCACCCCCACTTAATACTGGGGATTGAATCCAAAAGTACAGCTTCCACTGTACTACATCTCCAGCCCTTTTTATTTTTTTGAAACAGGGGAGGGAGGTGTCTCATTAAGTTGCCTAGGCTGGCCTTGAACTTTCCATCCTCCTGCCTCAGCCCCCTGGGTTGCTGGGATTACAAGGTGTGCACCATCCACTGTATCCAGCATCAAACTTGTTTTGCTAAAGGATCAGATAGTAAATATTTGATATAGTCTCTGACAATTAATAAATTTTTCTGTCTTATTAGGAAACAGACAATACCTGGAGGGTATAGGTATGTTGTATTCCTATAAAACTTGAAATTTTGATTTTATATAATTTTCTTTTTTTTCTAAATTTATTATTATTATTATTAGTTTTAGTTTTCGGCGGACACAACATCTTTGTTTGTATGTGGTGCTGAGGATCGAACCCGGGCCGCACGCATGCCAGGCGAGCGCGCTACCGCTTGAGCCACCTCCCCAGCCCCAATTTTATATAATTTTCACATGCCACAAAATGATATTGTTTGTTGTTTTTCATTCAGTTAGAAAAAAATAGTAAAATCTCTTTTTAGGTCACTGTAAGCTATATCAACACAGTTGGCAGGTTAGCTCCGGATACAACTTCAAGAGCATGAGGTTCGAGATTCAGTTGCTTGGTCAAGTTTCTTATGCATGGGACAGTTAGCCAGTGCTTTTATAGAAAGGGCACCACACCTGGAATAATGACAATGAGGGCAAACGATCTCTGAGTGCACCGTGAGCCCAACCCCAGCGCTGAGCTTTGGCTGGCTTTAGAACCTCGATGTTCCAAGATCCCGGAACTTCAGGGATACAGCCATAACCTTGGCCTGATACTCCTCAGCCCGACCTTACGTGCCCATTAGCCACCAGGGGCACCAGAGTGCGCGCATGCGCAGAACCCGCACTTCGTGACCAATCACTTTGTAGCGCCTGGAGCCGAGCCGACCGAGCTCGCCGCACCTGGCAGCCAATCACTGGGCGCGCGTGTGAAGACGTCTGTGGCGTTGGCGGCGGTGGCGGCCCCTGGGGCCTGAGTAGGTGGTGTGGCTGCGGGTTTTGCCCAGGGAGCGTGTTCGGGGCTGTTTCTTGGCCGGCTTCGCGGGGACGCCACTGATCAGCGCCGGTAAGGATGGTGGAGTAGCGCGGCTCGAGCGTTCCCTGAGGGCAGACGGGAGGGAGAATCCACCGCTGCAGCCCCCCCAGGTTCGGACACCGCGTTCGGTGGCCTTGCGCCGCCCAAGAGGCCTTTTCAGTGCCGACGTCTTCCAAAAGGCGTGAGGGGCTGGGGACCCAGTGGGCCCCACGCCGCCTCACACATTCCATTCCTTAACTTGACTAGGCGCCTCTTTCAGTCGGTCTCCCCTTACCCCGCGGAACTCCCCCCTGGTGGCGGGCCCAGCGAGGCCTCCTGAGGAAGGGGCCTGTACACCCTCCTCCTGCCTTGCCTTTTCTCCCCTGCCCCGCAGTGGTCTCTTGTGGCGCCTAATTTTGGTGTTTAAAAATCATAAACCAGTTTGTAATTCCAGCCCCACCCCCATTCTGTATATCTGCAGGCCCTGAACCCTTAGAGTGTCTAAACCTTTTTAAAATTCCGTTTATTGTACTCGTTGCTATATCGCAGTGCCTCTTTATTTTTCTTGTTTGTTTACTGTGGGCCTTCTGGACGCTAATGCAGCCCACTGAATCCCAGTGAGCCATTATTAATTTGGGCAGTTTACAGATGGGCTGTTAAGATAGACAGGAGGAGTAGATTTGGGGGAAAGTAATTGAATTCTCTTTTCCGATTAGATATGAGATGATTAATAAACATCTAAATGGCAATCTTAGGTAGGCAACAGGATATTAAATATCCTTGAAACATGCAAGTAACCCTAATCCTTCTCTCTGGTTGCCTTAAGGATGTGACCTTCTCCTTGGACGATTCAAGTTCTTAAAAAGTTTCAGTGTACATTTGAGGTAAGAGAGAAGTCTGTATCATAAGGACCAAGGTTGTTTCTTTTCTCAATTAAATTTTCCTTTTCATTCTCTCCTGTGCTAAAACTTACTGTTTAGAGTTTCTTGAGGGAATCTGAATGTATATGATAAATTCAGGCGATTGTTAATTTAAATATTCTGGAGCCCTCTAAATTGCTTTCTTAAACAAAGGAGAATGTGGTGGCTGCAGCATTCTTTCACTTCATTTCTTGAAAAAGTAAGCACCATAGAGAGTTAGAGCTGTGTAAGGCTGACTTAAGTTGTGAGGCTAACATGGATTGGTACACTTACCCTAAGATTTCAGCTAATGCATTAAAATGGGTCATTTAGGGAAAATTTTTTGTTAAAGTGGAGTTAACTTGTTCATTACTATACTTTTTAATTTTTTTAAAAATTGTACTGGGGATTGAATAGGGTTGTTCTATCCCTGAGCTACATTGCCCATTCTTTTTATTTTTATGTTGAGTTAGGGTTTAACTCTGGCCAGGAACTTGTGATTCTCCTACCTCAACTTCCCAACTAGCTGGGATTATAGGCATGTGCCACCAAACTCACTTATACTCTTTTTCTTAAAGACTGTATTTCATTAGGTAAATTGTATGTGACTTGACAGGGGAGGTTAACAGAATTTTTTCCATGTCAGTAGGCAAGATAATAGGTAAATTCTGTGTCCTCAGATTTGTGAATACAACTCAGAACCATTGTATTAGCTAGTTATCTATTTTAACAAACCATCTCAAAACCTAGTTGCTTAAAATAACACATTTTTATTACATCATAATTTCTGAATGTTTGGAATCCAAAAGTGGCTTAGCTGGGAGCTGGCAATTCTGGCTTAGGCTCTCATGAGGCTACAGTCAAACTTTTGACTAGATTGGCAGTCTCTGAAGGCTTGACTAGAATTGGATGAACTGCTTCAAATCTCTTACTTGGCAAGAGGCCTCAGTTACTCATTGGACCTGTCCATGGGGCTGCTTATGTCATACCAGTTGGCTTCCCTTAGAGTGAGTTAATTTGGGAGAGCTTGTACCTAAGATGAAGCAGTGTCTTTTTTATAACTTAATATCTGAAGAGACATATCATCATTTCTTCTTTTTTTTTTTAGAGAATTTTTTTAATATTTATTTTTTAGTTTTCAGCGGACACAGCATCTTTGTTTGTATGTGGTGCTGAGGATTGAACCCGGGCTGCACGCTTGCCAGGCGAGCGTGCTACCGCTTGAGCCACATCCCCAGCTCCATCATTTCTTCTTTGAGTGTTTTCTGCACAGGCCAACCTTTTACATTGTGGGAAAGGGCTGCAGAACAGTGTGAATACTAGGAGGTGGGATTCACCTGGGGCCATGAGAGAGGCTGGCTCTTGTACCTGTTTATCCACCATTCCAGTTGTTCTCCATATGGTTTCTGGCATTTTGTTACAATGGGTGAAACAAAGACTTGTGCACTTATTTATTCAGCATATTGTTCCAACAAGTCTCCTCTTTATCTTGGGTTAAGTTTTCTGTTGCTTTGGATAATTTTAGTAGCAAACATACTGATTTTTCTGTCACTTCTCCTTGGGAATCTGTTGTTTGATGCTGTGTTCCCCTTTATTTATTTCATATTTGCTTGTCCATAAGAAAGTAAATTTTCCTTTTTAGGAAAATTTCAGGTTGTCTTATTTTCTATTCTCCCAATCTTTTTTTGGCAGGGGGGCGGTGGTACCGCGAGGGGATTGAATTAAGGGGTGCTTGACACCAGCCATATCCCCAATGTTATTTTGTATTTTAGAGACAGGGTCTCACTGAGTTGCTTAGTGACTCGCTTTTGCAGAGGCTAGCTTTGAACTGTCAGCCTTCAGAGCAGCTGGGATTACAGGCGTGTCACAGAATCTGGCCCTCCAGTTCTCTCTTTAACCCACTCTTGTGTAGGTCATCAATGAATTCCACATTGCTTAATCCAGTGGTTAGTTTTAGTTGATTTATTTGATCTACCTGCAGCATTTATCAGAGAGATTCATTTCCTCCTTCCTAAAAAATTTTTTTATTATTATTTTTTTTTTAATGTTTAAAGGTATTTTATTTATTTATTTATTTATTTTATTTTTAATTTTTTATTGTGGGTTGTTCAAAACATTACAAATTTCTTGACATATCATATTCCACACTTTGATTCAAGTGGGTTATGAACTCCCACCTTCACCCCATACACAGATTGCAGAATCACATCAGTTACACATCCATTGATTTACATATTGCCATACTAGTGTCTGTTGTGCTCCGCTGCCTTTCCCATCCTCCACCCTCCCCCCTCCCCACCTCTCCCCTCCCCTCCCCTCCTCTCTCTCTACCCCCTCCACTGTATAACCCTGAGGGTCTCCTTCCATTACCATGCAATTTCCCTTCTCTCTCCCTTTTCCTCCCACCTCTCATCCCTGTTAAAAATTTTTTTATTTGAATTCTGGATGCTTCACATTTTTGATTCATCTCCTATCCAGTTGGTTATTAACTGCTTCTTGATCTCCTTTGCTGTTCTTTCTTTATGACCTCTAAAAATGGAATACTTCAGGATTTGGATTTTAGACTCTTCCCCTGGGTTATGTCATCAGACTTGTGTTTTAGATAATGCTACAGATAGAAGATTCAAAAATTTGGATGTCTTCTCCATATCTCTCTGAATTCTGCTCATAGATTTGCTGGCACAACATCATCACTTATACGTCCTGTCTTTCATGTCTCATGTGCAGTCTATCAGACAAATCTGTGACCCTTCAAGATTTTATCTAGAATCTTGACTCCTTAGTATCTTTATTTCTCCATCCTGTTACTGTTATTATCTTTTGTCTGTTTTATTTCAGCAGCTTCTTGTGTTCTGCTTCCACTGTTATTCTCTAAAGTCTTTTCTCCATACAGCAGCCAGAACAATCCTGTTGAAATGAAAGTCACACCATTAAAAATCTCAGCAGTCTCTCATCACACTCAGTAAAAGCCAGAGAACTTAGAATGGCCCATATGATCTGAGTTCCTATAATTGTCATTGACCACAAATGCACATTTAAAAAGCCTCTTCTCTTAACTTGTCTCCCTTATCATTGGCTTGCCTGTTATCTTCTTGACCAGTTCTTAACATGTGTTAAGTATGCTCCTTCTTGGCCTTTGTGTTGTTTTCCTTTTCTAGAATACTGTTTCTCAAATACTCATAACCATGTCCTATAAATATCAACCTGCCTTCATTTCCTACTTTTTCTCACTAGCATATAGATAACCATCTTTTTTTAAAAAATTATTATTTACTGATTAATTCTAACAGAAAATTAGCTCCCTGAAGAGAGGGTTTTTGTTTGGATCACTGATATATTTTTATACTAGCTCTTGACTGTTAATCAGCTCACCAAATTTTAGTTGAATGAATGATGTACTTCGATTCCTCTTAAACACCACCTTGATTCTTCCCTCCACCTTTTCTCTTTGGTCAAGAGACTTATCAAAACTACAAATGCTTTATATCATTCTTTGTATTATTTCTGTTTCTCAGTCTTTTAGACAGGAATATGTTTTAATTCTACTGATTCAATACATTTTATAATGATGTTTCACCATAAAGCAATGAACATCAAACATTACCAAACTTATGTTGTGGGAGGCCAACCTTAACGGTGACTGAGATACACTCCCCAGCTGGGTGCTGAGGCGCTCAGTCACAGAAATGGGTGTGTCTTGCTACAGCCCCATGGGTGAAGCTATGCTCACCTGTTCCTTTGTAATATAACCCCTTGCCCTGTTTAGGATAGAATCTTCCATGGAAGTGCCTTGTGTGTGTCCCCTCCTCTTACTGTGCCCTTGGGTGTGGCCTACCCAGGTGTCAGTCAACCTGCTGACAGTGGACATCATAAAGATAAACTCAGCCCCCTGAAACCTGACCCCTTGCCTCATTTAAATAGCTTCTCAATAAAAGGGGTCAGCACGTGCTCTCTCTCTCTCTTTCAGAGGAGCCGTCACAGCGACCCCAAAGAAAAAGGTATTTGTGTCTCTTGTGTGGTTATTTCATACAGCCCAGTTAGCCCAGTTTAACTAGAGTGACCCCTGAGCCTTTTAGTCGCGAGAACAGAAACCTGACATTATGTCAGTTTTTTTTTTCTCAGTACTAAAGATTGAACCCAGAGCGTTACACATGATAGGCAAGCCATCTACCACAGAGCTGTGTCTCCAGTCCCTGACTTTATGTGCTTAACCACACACAGAATCCATTATTATCTCCTTCCATAGAGTAACAATTTCTTCCTAAATTCTTTAAGAAAAAAAATAAAAAAATTCCCCATCTCTCCTTCCTTTCTGTGTTTTGATCTGGGAATTCTAAAGCAGGAGTATTGCCTTAAGATCAGTTCAGTATGTCAAAAAATAATAACTTTCAACTTTTGACTTCCTAACGGTATTATGTAAGTTTGGGGGGGAAAAAATGTGGATACTCCCAAGAAGTCTTACTAGTTTTTTTCCCCGCATGGGGGCTTCCCAGTAGTAGAGAGCTAAAAGATACATAGGGATTCATGACAGGGCCCATCTGGCATCTGTGTGGAATGTGCTTTCATGAATTTTACAATCTCCAGAATCTCTATAACTAAGTTGAATTTATTATCTAAACTGATGTACTTTTTAAAAATGAATGAAAAATGGGATTATTAAAATATGTACAAAAAAGGTTAAACCAAGATATATGGTAACCCTACTTATAACTAATTTGGTCCTCCAAGTCCTTTATAATAGGTTGTTTACTCTGCGAAATATAACTATTCCAGGTGGAATACAGATTTATGAATTGACACTACTTGATACTAGCTTAAGTATATTTGTTGGCTAGATTGGCTTGCATCATTACTATAATCTTAATTACCTATGTTATGAATGGGGTCTTCGTGGGAGCTTTGAAAATTTACTATCAGTTGTTGGGTGGTGGGGTCACACCAGTTTATTGCTAGACATGTTTTCCTTTAATCAAGGGATAATGTCC